CCAAGTCGACAGCAAACGTGAAAAAACTGCAAACTCTTCAACAGTGACCCTTTTGTCACAGTCTATGCGATCATATTGCACTCCAATATGAACATTTTCTTGGGAGAACCCTCTCAGACTCTCCATGAGTCGCATTTTTAATTCAGCCTCCACAGTTGTTCCCCATTCTCCAGTCTCCAGAGGCTTGGGTAGCCGCTGTTTGCAGCATAGTAAGGACAACTTTCCACCGTGACAGGTCTATAAGACTTGACAAGTACTAAAATGAAGTTGTTTCCCTTGAATTACCTTAAGAGCACCAAGATAAGTTGCTAGTCTCTGTTCACCTTTATTTAACAGTTGAGGGAAATTGTTTTCAGATTCTCCTACACTACGACTGTATTTCTACAATAAAATATTACAAAGTGTCTTATTCTTCAGATAATAAACGAACACTTATCTGGCGCTTGATTGGAGAGGTATAAACAGGTTCCATTTGTTTGAATTCTGACTTCAATAGATCCAGAATATATTCACAATTTTCTCATCTATTTCATTCTCTGCCATTTTGAATTCTGTCTGCACCTACTGATTTTTCTAACACGAAAGGAAAGGGGGGGATTATGAAAGCTCCTTAAGGCCCCAAGAAAACAGGATTTCAGATGACCTGAGATGAATTTTGAGCATGTAATTTTCACTTCATCATAGGCCTGAGAGAGAGGTCATGGCCTAATGACCCCCACCCCCCTAACCAAGCTACTGGTTCTCACCTTGTAATATTTTTTGGCTTCCTCAGTGTCTAAAAAGAAACCAGCAGCTTCTCTAGTGTAAAGATATTCTATATACATCATAAAATAATCTTTCTGAAATGGGCAAATGACAAAATACACAATATTGGTTTGAAAATTAGTGCTGGTTACATTGCTACAAATTGGTGGTACTTAATATTTAATATTCATTTAGATAACATTTAATACAAAATGTCATGATACACATATATCATATTGCGAATTTTTGTATCGAAATTGGAGATTTTTATAAATTGGTGAATGGAATCACAAAAGATTCTCATTGACTTGACTGAAATTGTTAGAAACTACTCCTATCAACTATATTACCAAATATCATAGTTATAATGTTATATATTAATATATATAGAAACTATTTATAAGACAGTGGACATTAACCACTCCTATCATCTACATTATCAAATAGCACAGTCATAAAGTTATTAACCACTCCTATCAACTAAATTACCAAATATCACAGTAATAAAGTTATTAACCACTTCTATCAACTACATTATCAAATATCACAGTTATAAAGTTATTAACCACTTCTATCAACTACATTATCAAATATCATAGTTATAAAGTTATTAACCACTTCTATCAACTACATTATTAAATATCATAGTTATAAAGTTATTAACCACTTCTATCAACTACATTATTAAATATCATAGTTATAAAGTTATTAACCACTTCTATCAACTACATTACCAAATATCATAGTTATAAAGTTATTAACTACTTCTATCAACTATATTACCAAATATCACAGTTATAAAGTTATTAACCACTCCTATCAACTATATTACCAAATATCACAGTAATAAAGTTATTAACCACTTCTATCAACTACATTATCAAATATCACAGTTATAAAGTTATTAACCACTTCTATCAACTACATTATTAAATATCACAGTTATAAAGTTATTAACCACTTCTATCAACTACATTACCAAATATCATAGTTATAAAGTTATTAACCACTCCTATTAACTATATTACCAAATATCACAGTAATAAAGTTATTAACCACTTCTATCAACTACATTACCAAATATCATAGTTATAAAGTTATTAACCACTCCTATTAACTATATTACCAAATATCATAGTAATAAAGTTATTAACCACTCCTATCAACTACATTACCAAATATCATAGTTATAAAGTTATTAACCACTTCTATCAACTGCATTACCAAATATGACAGTTATAAAGTTATTAACTACTCCTATCAACTATATTACCAAATATCACAGTTATAAAGTTATTAACTACTCCTATCAACTATATTACCAAATATCACAGTTATAAAGTTATTAACCACTTCTATCAACTACATTATCAAATATCACAGTAATAAAGTTATTAACCACTCCTATTAACTATATTACCAAATATCACAGTTATAAAGTTTTAAATTAATATATATTGAAACTTTGAAGATAAAAAGTTAAATTTCATCCCATTACCCCATATCCTGATACATATGATACATATCCTATTGTGACTTATGTATCACAATATATATATCTCATCTTAGCATTTTTAGCAATTCCCAGCAATAATGCATATATATATATACATTATAAATTGACTAGTCCTATCTCATGCTGTCGATATCTGATTTATTAGATCTTCATCAAGACCTCCTTTCAAAGATGCACATGGATTTGTAAAAAGAAGAGTGAGCAAAATTGTTGAAGCATCAGCTAGTGCTTTTGAGGATTGGCCCTGTGGAGACTAAAAAATTTAATTGAATCAAACTTACATTTTTGAGGAAAACTCCACCAATTTTACCAGGAAATGCTGAAGATGTTGTTAGACCATTCAAAAACGTGCTAAAAAAATAAATGCCAAAAATATGCTAGTGACTACAGAATGACTAGTGTTCCTAAATGGTGTTGTTATGAGGTTTTCTAAATCTTTTACGTGTATCGGGGACACTGATAGCATCAATTCAAATTTTCAATCAGAAATTCCTGCAATTCCACTAAATCTAAGTGTTTGATGACGCCACTAATCGCGAAGGCCTTGCCCTATCTGATAAAGCATATATCGTGATTAAGCACTTAGTTTTGGTGGAATTGCAGGAACCACAGACATCTGAAAATTAGAATGGTGCAAATCGATGCTATCAGTGTCCACGATATACTTACAAAATCCATACAATCCCTTTAAGATATTGAGATATGTTAAGACATGTATTGAGAGATGCAGTGAGCAGAAAAGTAGGATGTAAAACTCCATAATTAAAATTATAAACTTACTCATGGTGGAACTTTAATATTGACTTGATATTACTGAAAATCTCATCATGCTTGTTCCTCAATACATCAGGGGCATCTCGTTCCTGGAATTTCCCATGATAAACTTCCACTAGGTGCTGGAGATCTTTTATATACTCTCTTTCTGTTTCCACCAACTCAGTCAGTAAATATCTGAAATATATCAAGGGCAATAAGTTATGTTAAATATTTCACAATTTTTCTGAATTACGATTTAGTACATTTCTTGTATTAACAATTTTAGCAAGTGTAACCAAAATTAATGTATGCTTTCTAGTGTGATAATCAACAAAATTTTTTAAAAATTTGCAGAACATAACAAAACTCTATAGGGTTAATTTTTGGGTGACAAACAATTTCTTCAAGTGTCTGAAATTAAATTGTGTTTTCTTAGGTGGCGCTCGATTGGAAAGTTCTGTCTGTTCCTATTCTCGGCCATTTTGAATTTTCACTACTCTCTGATCTTTTTTTAGTTTGTGATAAATAAAGAAAGAAGTGGGGGTGTCCAAGTTTAGGTTTGTCATTGATCCCATTGGAAAGTTTGCAATCTGATAATCCAATGGTGTTAAATGGAGGGCCTATTGACTGGAGACTGTGTTAGGTCCGGGTTGGTGCCGAGTCCGTTGATTATTAAGTATTCGAGATTTCGACTGGAGTGTCTCGGTAAATGTAAATGGAAGTGAGAGGCGACTAGTGTGTCCCTCTTAGGATAGATAGGTTCACTTCTTTAGCATTATCTTTGTGATAAATAAACAGAACTGGGTGTTGACAGTGTTGGACTTTAGGGTGGATATTGTTCTATGCGCTAAGTGAAAATTTGATCGATTTCAACCAACGGTAAGTTCACAATTTGATCATAAATCTTGTCTACACAGTGTAATCAAAATACCAATTGACAAGTCAAGTCGTAAGAGCAAAAGTAGACAATAGCTTGACCGTTTGTTACGATTTTGAGATTACACTAACTATTTTGACTATCAAATCTGCATAACCCTTAACCCACAAATACAACAAATTTTCATCACAAGCTCTTTTGCAACAGAGGTCAGATAAATACAAAGAAACATATTCAAATTAACACAAGGAAATCCAGGTCAGTGTATTTTCGATAAAAAATAAAGAACATGCCGAAAAAAAATTAAAATTCAGAAAACGGAGAGTAACATAAGAGATAGATTCAGAGATTAAAGTCAAAGTTCAAGGCTATATAAGTTTTTAAAAATAGATGATCTATCACTATGGTTACTCACAGTTTGGATCTAAAAGCCTCTTCCGTGCTACAAAAGTGGAATGTTAAAATGTATTAGTAAGCAAAGTGCAAAAGTTTTGTGGTTGGCCATTTCAAAATTGTTTTATATATCTTAATATATGCTTAATCACACAAGACCCTCAGCGATTAGTGAAGTCATCGTGGAATTGTAGGAACCACAGATTGAAAATAGGATTGGCCCAAATTGATGCTTTCCCTTGAATCATTAGATTTTTAAGCATTCTTTAACGTGCACAGCCTTTAGCACACAGGGCCTCGGTTTATTGTCCCATCCGAACGACTAGACGCTTTTTCCATGTCAGCCCCTCTCACTTGCATCACTGACAGGGGGAAACCGGGTTGAAAAATCCGAAGGTATTATCTCGACCTATACCGGGATTGAACCCTGCACCTTCAGGTTAGCGAGCAAGCGTCTAACTCACTGAGCCACCGCGGCTCCTATCAACAAAATGGCCAACCACGCTTTGTGAAAAAAAAAGCAAACAATGTAATTCTAGGAATAGCTTTAAAATGTTGAACACATAATTTAGATTGGATTTAGAAAAATTTACAAAAAACGACCAACCTTCTTTTCAACATGGCTTCTTGATGTTTATTTTTAATGTGGAGAATCTCATCACGGAACTGTTCACGTGTATCTTTCTTAATTACTGTCGCCATGCCAGTCTTTACGTCAAAGTAAGCCGATGGTACCCATCCCTGTTTTGATGGCGTTGTTTTTGATGGTTTGGTACGCACCAACCACGAGTCGGCACGCTGCTTGTCAATGACCTCTACATACTGACCTTCTACCAATCGTAAGGCTTCTGGGTCTGTAGATGTCTGGTTGTAATCAGCTACCACCATGTAGACTTGAAATGTCTGGAAATAATGTATGTATTGTTATGATTATGTAACCCAGAGTCCAATGAAGGAAATATTTTTAGGAAAACAGTAAAGGCCTCATTTTTGGTCTTTTCCAGCTACTCAGGGTTTTATTGTCCCATCAGTGGCAGCACCAATTGTGGTACTAGGCATGCTGCCTAGAAAAACTGGTTGGCACCCCCAATGGTATCCCTTCTTTAACAAATCTAAAAATAGAATTGTATACGTTTCTTTCCTCAAATATGTCAGAAAGTGCCAAAACAAATTAAAATTTTCAAAACCTTCTTAGGCGAACCCTCTCAGACGCTCCATGAGAGGCTTGCAACAAGAGTGGCTGCATTTTGAATTCAGCCTCGACAGTTGTCCCTCATCGAGTCAGTATGTTGTACCCCAAGTCACGAGAGGCTGGCGCCACCACTGTGACATCATTGAAAACTATCCAATTCAGCGCCACCAACCTGAAAAGGGAGTTATCATGGCAACCAGATACTATGTTTACAACCTAGAAATCTAGTTAAAATGAGCAAGCAAGCTCACCTCTTTCAAATGGAATAATCCAGCTTCATCTTCAGAGGTTTCCAGCTCATGATCTAATCTAAGACTGGGTGATCTAGACAATTTCAGTTCTTTCTTACGGCTCAGGGTGTCTGAAATCGTAAAATACTCTCTTAGATACTGAGTTGTTAAATTAAAAGGGATTGTAAAGAATTTTTATAAATTTTTTGTATGGGGACACTGATAGAATCAGTACCATTCTATGTACCATTTCAATAAGACGTCTGTGGTTCCTGCAATTCCCCTAAAACTAAGGGCCGTATGCAACACTCTTACCTTGACTAAAGTTGGCTTTAGAAAGTTAGGATTAAGGCTTTCATTTTCTACATTTGATAGTCAAATTTAAGCACGACTTTCGTAAAAATCGACAGGTGCATACCTAAAGTTCGACTTAAGTCTAACTTTAGTCAAAGTTTAGGTAAAGTACGAGAGCTGCATATGGCCCTAAGTGATTCATGATGTCACTAATCACGAAGGGCCTTATGTGATAAAGCACATTTGGTATTTTTGAATTAGATGAAGACACTCTGAGGACTTACCTCCCAAATCTTTAACTGTTTCATCAGCTCTCTGTAAAACACTTATAGGAACATAAAACACCTGAAAACAGAGATCATAATATTCTTTATATCTGTCATTTTCTAGCTGATAGCTAACCATTTTTCTCATGAACAAATGTTACATGCTTTCAGAAATTTCTCACACAGAGCAAATTTATGAGCTTCAATGTCAAACAATACTATCATCTTTATTGGGGGGCACTTGATTGATGAGTTCTGCACGTTCGGGATTTATGGCATCATTCAATAAAAAAAGTTGGAACAGAGTTCAGAACTGAGAAGGGAATAGATGGGAATATTTTGAATGTGACATTTCCACTTTCATGCTGTTCAATTGCAGAAGAATTGGAACAGACAGAACTTTTTCAGAACTCTCTAATTGAGTGCCACCCTATAGTATAGTATAATCAAATTTTGTTTCCTTTCATTCAACTGAATACTTCAATGATACATCAATGTGGGGTGGGGCAGCACCAAAAGCAATTTTTTGGGGCAAAAAATAGTTAGAAATCTCAGATATTTTGCCCCCCCTCGGACACACACCTGGCTCCACCTCTGACATCAATACTGTATTTTCTTTCAAACCCACAAAACTTTCTCACCTGTTCTTTGTCCGTCTGCTTTCTAACCAGCCAGGATCCAGTTGTTAATTTGGAATCTAAAACTTGCACAATTTCTCCCACGTTTAATGTAACCTTTGAGTCTTCGTCCATATAACTGGTTGTTGCAATAAATTCTTGAAGGAATAATTCCTGAAATTAAGCAAAAAAATTCTGTCATAAGAACAAAAGTCAAAAAGATAGGACATAACCACAAAAAAATGAAAATATGAGGACAAATTATTCTTAGTGTAAGGACATTTTTAAATAATATATTTTAGATTGTTAAGCTTCTAAGATAAAAAGATCTTTCTTTTGATGTGTGTAAAATGAAAAGTTTACCTAAGTCAGATGTAAGTGGTTCCCTCAATTCCACTAAGTCTAATTGAAAATTAGAATGGTGCAAATTGATATCAGTGTCACCGAAACACATAAAAAATTAACTTGTGCATAAAAAAAATCCCTTTCCTAAAAATTGTAACAAACTTACGATAAAATCATGCAACCAGCAAAACATTCCACAATACAAATGCAATTATCTCTATAAACATCTACATCAGGGGTGTTGAACCTTTTTCTTTCTATTACCCCATTCAGGATCCTTGCTCGACTCCTTCACTCTAAATCCTTACTATAACATGCCTTCCCCCTATAAATCCTTACTATTATCCTTCCTCCCCTATAAATCCTTACTATTACCTCCATGCCCAGTATAAATCCTTACTATTAGCTCCCTTCTCAGTATAAATCCTTACTATTATCCTCCTTCCCCTTATAAATCCTAACTATTACTCGCTTCCCTCATCAATCCTTACCATTACCCCCCTTCTCAGAATAAATCCTTACTATTACCTCCCTTCCCAGTATAAATCCTTACAATTACCTCCCTTCCCAGTATTAATCCTTACTTACTATTACCTCCCTTCCCCCTATAAAATCTTCCTATTACTTCACTTACCAGTATAAATCCTTACTATTACCTCCCTTCCCAGTATAAATCCTTACCATTACCTCTCTTCCTGGTATAAATCCTTACTTACTATTACCTTCCTTCCCAGTATAAATCCTTACTATTACCTCCCTTCACAGTATAAATCCTTACTATTACCTCCGTTCCCAGTATAAATCCTTACTATTACCTGCCTTCACAGTATAAATCCTTACTATTACCTCCCTTCCCAGTATAAATCCTTACTATTACCTCCCTTCCCAGTATTAATCCTTACTTACTATTACTTCCCTTCCCCCTATAAAATCTTACTATTACTTCACTTACCAGTATAAATCCTTACTATTACCTCCTTTCCAAGTATAAATCCTTACAATTACCTCCCTTCCCAGTATAAATCCTTACTTACTATTACCTCCCTTCCCAGTATAAATCCTTACTATTACCCCCCCTTCCCAGAATAAATACTTACTATTACCTCCCTTCCCAGGATAAATCCTTACTACTACCTCCCTTCCCAGTATAAATCCTTACTATTACCTCCCTTCCCAGTATAAATCCTTACTATTACCTCCCTTCCCAGTATAAATCCTTACTATTACCTCCCTTCCTAGTATAAATCCTTACTATTACCTCCCTTCCCAGGATAAATCCTTACTATTACCTCCCTTCCCAGTATAAATCCTTACTATTACCTCCCTTCCCAGTATAAATCCTTACTATTACCTCCCTTACCAGTATAAATCCTTACTATTACCTCCCTTCCCAGGATAAATCCTTACTATTACCTCCCTTCCCAGTATAAATCCTTACTATTACCTCCCTTCCCAGTATAAATCCTTACTATTACCTCCCTTCCCAGTATAAATCCTTACTATTACCTCCCTTCCCAGGATAAATCCTTACTATTACCTCCCTTCCCGGTATAAATCCTTACCATTACCTCTCATCCCCGGTATAAATCCTTACTATTACCTCCATCCCCAGTATAAATCCTTACTTTTACCTCCGTTCCCAGTATAAATCCTTACTATTAACGCCCTTCCCAGTATAAATCCTTACTATTACCTCACCAATATAAATCCTTACTATTCTCCCTACTAGGTATAAATCCTTACTGTTCTACCTTCTCGGTATAAATCCTTACTATTATCCCCCTTCTCAGTATAAATCCTTCCTATTACCTCTCTCCCAGTATAAATCCTTACTATTATAACCCTCAGGTTAAAAACCCCTGATCTACCTGCATACATGAATTTGTCATCTGTTGAATTTTCCCACCCCATAAATGAATATGTGGCACTGCCTATCACTGTAAAAGATGTCCTACTTTTCTAATCCTGAGTGAACACAGTCAGAACCATGCAGTGTTCAGTGGGTGAAATTTTGCCAGGACAGTAGTATTAGCCCATTATCTTTCGATTGCCAAACTTCTAGGGTCGAAGATTTTTTAGATGATGACTCAAAGAGGAGTGGCTATTACCACATTAGTCCGAAAAAAAGAAATTCCAGGGTACACATCATGATCTGTATAATCAGATTAAAACTTCAGAGGTCAGTCTTAAAGAGATTGTAAAGAGGTTTCCTAAATTTTTCTTGTGTATCAGGGACACTGATAGCATCAATTTGTACCATTACATTTTTCAATCAGATGTCAGTGGTTCTTGCAATTCTACTAAAACTAAGTGTTTGATGATGTCACTAATCGTGAAGGGCCTTATATTTGGCAATTAGTGATGTCATCAAACACTAATTTTAAATAACGCAACAATCTACCCCTAAAATTATTCTTAGTGGAGGAACCGCAGATGTCTGATTGAAAATTGGAATGGTGCATATAAATGCTATTCAGAGTTCATGATACACATAAAAAATTTAGAAATCTCTTAACAATCCCTTTAAATATTTGTGAAAATAATGAGAAGTGATAAAACTAAATAAATATAATATCAATTAATACAACAATTATAATAAAATATCAACAACAAAAAAAATAAAACCAATACATGTATATGAAAATACTGTTTAAAATTTAGTTATAAAAAATAAGATATCAGCTAGTAATTAGATGCCTATAAAATACTTATGACAAGCCCTTTTTCTTGGTTTAAAAAATGTGCATTGTTCACAAAAATATATGGTAGATGACATCCCGATTAAAGGTATACTACCTCTTAGGATGCTCAAATTTGACCAATAACGGTATATAATCCATCAGTGGACTATACATCAAAATCCCTCTATAATCCGATATATCCACAAAACCAAGTAATCAATTATAAAAAGCTGAATGCATCCATTAAGCGATTTTCAAATCGTGAGTCTAAGAAATTCGGTGTAATCACAAGGGGAAACTGAACGGATTCATCGCTTCCTCACTTTTTTTTTTAAATTCTTATTATAATTTTATTGTCGATTTTTCAAACTTGATAAAGTGTGGGATGCATACTTATTTAACCAATGGTCACTATTAAACAGAAATATTAGCCACAGGACGAGTATATTCTAAGATGTAGTATCCTTATTAAAGGTATACTACCTCTTAGTATGACCAAAAAATTGAAATTTTTAAACTTGATTAAAATGAATCTTTGTTCTTCAGTTGGACTTACTAGGTGCCATGACTTAAGAATAGAATCTTTGAGGTAGTATTCCTTTAAGAATGAATATCTGGAATCAAGTATTATGGTATCAACCTTATCATATGGAGTGAATTTTAACCAAATATAAGGCTTCTATTGAATGGAATGTATTATATATATATATCTATATCATAAAATAAAACTATGTAAAATAATTTGAGCACATCAATATCCTTTTCTCATTTCCATAACATCATTGTATAAAAAAATTAACAAACAAAATATGATTTAAAAAATCTTATCTCCTTACTAAAAGGGTTTGTAGAAATTTGCTGAATATGTAAATATTTTTGGCTTATAGAATTTTGCTGAATATGTAAATATTTTTGGCTTTAGAATTTTGCTGAATATAAAAATATTTTTGGTTTATAGAATTTTGCTGAATATAAAAATATTTTTGGTTTATAGAATTTCCTGAATATTAAAATATTTCTGGCTTATAGAATTTTATAGAATTTTGCTGAATATGTAAATATTTTTGGCTTATAGAATTTTGCTGAATATGTAAATATTTTTGGCTTTAGAATTTTGCTGAATATAAAAATATTTTTGGTTTATAGAATTTTGCTGAATATAAAAATATTTTTGGTTTATAGAATTTCCTGAATATTAAAATATTTTTGGTTTGATGAATTTTGCTGAATATAAAAATATTTTTGGCTATAGAATTTTGCTGAATATAAAAATATTTTTGGTTTATAGTATTTGCTGAATATTAAAATATTTCTGGCTTTTAGAATTTTATAGAATTTGGCTGAATATAAAAATAATTTTGGTTTATAGAATTTGGCTGAATATAAAAATAATTTTGGTTTATAGAATTTTGCTGAATATAAAAATATTTTTGGCTTATAGAATTTTGCTGAATATGTAAATATTTTTGGCTTATAGAATTTTGCTGAATATGTAAATATTTTTGGCTTTAGAATTTTGCTGAATATAAAAATATTTTTGGTTTATAGAATTTTGCTGAATATAAAAATATTTTTGGTTTATAGAATTTCCTGAATATTAAAATATTTCTGGCTTATAGAATTTTATAGAATTTGGCTGAATATAAAAATATTTTTGGCTATAGAATTTTGCTGAATATGTAAATATTTTTGGCTTATAGAATTTTGCTGAATATGTAAATATTTTTGGCTTTAGAATTTTGCTGAATATAAAAATATTTTTGGTTTATAGAATTTTGCTGAATATAAAAATATTTTTGGTTTATAGAATTTCCTGAATATTAAAATATTTTTGGTTTGATGAATTTTGCTGAATATAAAAATATTTTTGGCTATAGAATTTTGCTGAATATAAAAATATTTTTGGTTTATAGTATTTGCTGAATATTAAAATATTTCTGGCTTTTAGAATTTTATAGAATTTGGCTGAATATAAAAATAATTTTGGTTTATAGAATTTGGCTGAATATAAAAATAATTTTGGTTTATAGAATTTTGCTGAATATAAAAATATTTTTGGCTTATAGAATTTTGCTGAATATGTAAATATTTTTGGCTTTAGAATTTTGCTGAATATGTAAATATTTTTGGTTTATAGAATTTTGCTGAATATAAAAATATTTTTGGTTTATAGAATTTTGCTGAATATAAAAATATTTTTGGTTTATAGAATTTTGCTGAATATAAAAAAATATTTTTGGTTTATAGAATTTTGCTGAATATAAAAATATTTTTGGCGTATAGAATTTTGATGAATATTAATATTTTTGGCTTTAGAATTTTGATGAATATTAATATTTTTGCCTTTAGAAATTTTGTTGAATATTAATATTTTTGCCTTTAGAAATTTTGTTGAATATAAAAGTATTTTTGGCTTTAGAATTCCTGAAAAGAAAGCTTGGTTGAGAAACGAAATTGCCTAATGCTTAAGCTCAATATAAAATCAATACGGAAAAATACAACTTAATGTTATATCACCTGAGCATAATATTATTGATGGCATTTAAAAATAAATAAACAATGAAACATTCAAATCAAAACAAACAAACAAATAAATAACAACAAACACAACCCAAAACAATACAAAAACAAAAATAAACACTTTCAGAGGGGACATGGCTGGTGGCTCTAAAAATCTTTAAATCTATATTTTTTTTATCTATGTATCTATGCTGATCAGAATATTGGAATTTTAATTTTTTTAAAAGCAATTATCAAGCTTTAGAGACCTTCCCATGCATGCCCAAAATATTAAGGGGGTGCTTGATTAGAGAGTTCTGAACATGTTCTGTCTGTTCCAATTTTATTTTCTGACATAGCTCTGTGTAAAGGAAATAATCAAACTACATGAAAACAACAACTAAGGAAAGATTACTCTAATACTACACTAACGACTGGTGGGAAGTCTTCCTTCAGTCAGTTTATGTAAACCAAACGCTACGAGGGTAAAGGCTGCAGCAGCACCAAACAATTTAAGATATCGTGTACGAACATCTGATTCCGAGGCTCCAGGCAGCTGGACTGACTCTTCAGCAGCTGACAATCCACTCTCCTGTTCGGTTGCAGCTGAAAAATTATAGGTATTTTGCAACACAAAGTGAAGTTTGCTGCCTTGCACAGTAAAACACTGATGGGTGTTGCAAAGAAACGTGAAATGTTCACTTCTCTCAAGTATGTGACGCTACTCTTCAACTTAGTTTGTCAACTCAGT